CAAGGCATGTATATATTTGCATTGATTTTCCACTTAATGCTTACTTGGGCCATGGCAATACAGCAAGGTATTCTCAGAGACTCTGCTGATGAATGGCTGGCTTTCGAGGACCTGATGTGTGAGGGCGAAGTTTACGTCGCTCGTACTTCTGGGGCTGCTGCGGCCAGCCCTGACCTTTGCTACCAGCTGATGCTTACTACATTCGGAGACGCTTCCGTGAACCGTGACGTCGTGGTGCTGACGCGCGACCGCCCCATTGCTTGCTACGCCGTGATGGCCGGAAACGACTGCACATCGAGGCTCGCAGTTTCCGGCTTCGCCGTGTACTTGAAGAGGGCGTCCCGGGCGTTCCCTGGGCCTTCCGCGCCCTTGACGAGGTCGTTTGTGGCCGCCAATTTATCGCGAGCCCTTGGGGCATGATGGCAGGGAGAAGACCAGCTCCGAGCGCGTCCGGCGAACGGGGTCTGCTCCAAGAGCGTTGCAGGGCCTTGCCAGACGTGCGTTCACATAATCGACAGCCATTGCGGTTCCAATAGCTGGGACAATTACTCGGCGTGCCACGCGCGCAGCGCGTTGCACGCATGGTGAAAGCACAAACGGTAGCCGCATTGTGTGACAGTGTGTTCGGGCGAGCGCACAACAAGGCCCAGCCCAAAACCTCGGGCACGGTCCTGCTTGCGAGGGCACGGGCCCTGCTCTGGAAGAAGGGCCGTGGGCACGGGCCCCCGCGTACGCAAACGGAACGGCCACCCAAGCACGGGCTTGCGGTGGTAGTTCGGCGGCGAGGGCACGGGCCCTCGCCGCGAACGCAACGGGCAGAACCGCCCGGGCGCAGGCCCGTGGCGCTAGCTTTGCGGCGAGGGCACGGGCCCCGACCGCGAGCGCAACTCGCAGCAGCCACCCAGGCACGGGCCTGCGGGGTCTCAGCGGCGAGGGCGCGGGCTCCGACCGCGCGCGCGAAAGGGACGGCCGCCCAGGCGCGGGCTGGCGGTGCTCGTTTGGTGACGAGGGCGCGGGCCCCGACCGCGAACGCGAAGACAACGAAAGATGCAGCCACCCAGGCACGGGCCTCCGGGGTTGGCGCTGCGCCGCGGCGAGGGCGCGGGCCCCGGCCGCGGTCAGTGGCGGAGGCACGGGCCCCCGACCGAATGCAGAGGCTTGGGGCGCTGAGCCGTGTAAGGAATCGTCCCCCGAACCGCCCCCGCTTTCCGCCCCGGTGGTATCCACTTTGGTGTTGTCGCCATGATGCGTCCAGACACGAAAGCCCTCCCGCCCAACCCTCGCTTCCGCGCGCAAGCGGCGACGCGCGTGCCCTGGCCTGGCGCCGGTGCCTGCCCATCGTGCGGCCAGCGCGTGGGCGCCGACAGGCATCGGCAGGTGGTAGTGGGGGTTTCAGTGCTATTCCGCGTGCTGCTCCGCCACGTCGCTCACCGGCGGTCTGAGTTGCGCTTCGTCTTGCTCTCGTCGCCGCATGCGCCGAACCCGACGCCGTACCCGACGCCGAATCCCACGCCGAACCCGACGCCGAACCCCGCGCCGAACCCGACGCCGAGCCCCGCGGCGAACCCGACGGCGTTCCCGACGCCGAACCCGACGCCGAATCCGACGCCGTACCCGACGCCGAATCCGACGCCGAGCCCCGCGCCGAACCCGACGGCGGTCCCGACGCCGAACAGGACGCCGAATCCGACGCCGAACCCCGCGCCAAACCCGACGCCGAACCCCGCGCCGAACCCGACGGCGTTCCCGACGCCGTGCCCGACGCCGAACCCGACGCCGAACCCGACGCCCAACCCGACGCCCAACTCGACGTCGAAACCCACGCAGAAACCGACGACGAACCCCACGCCAAACCCGACGCCGAGCCCCACGCCGAACCCCACGCCGAACCCGACCCGACGCCGCACCTGACGGCGTTCCCGACCCCGTGCCCATCGCCGTGCCCGACGCCCTTCCCCACGGCCTTCCCGACATCATTCCCTGCGCCTTGCCTGGCGGCTTTCCCGACGCCTTGCCCGACGCCCTGCCCGACGGCGTTCCCGACGGCCTTCCTGACGGCGTTCCCGACGGCCTTCCCGACGGCGTTCCCGACGGCATTCCCCGCGGCTTCCCTGACGGCCTTCCCCGCGGCTTTTCCGACGCCCTACCCGACGGCCTTCCCGGCCCCCAGCCCGACGCCCAGCCCGACGCATCTTTTGGGTTGTCTGGCGCCACATCCATCGTTCCCCCCCGTAGCCCCAACGGCGGGTGGAACCGCCGGAGGCGTGGCTGCCAGTGGCGACCCCCGCCTTCAAAATGTCCGCGGCGAGCGGTTCGACCTAATGAGGGCAGGCGCGCATGTTCTGATGCGCGTCCCTCGTGGAGCTAGCGCTGCAGACGCATTGCTTCGCGCGCGGGCCGACGCGCGCCGACTGAGTGGAAGTTGCCTGGGTATGTACTTCGAACTGAGCATTGCAGGCTCTTGGGCGGAGGCTAAGCAAGTTGGAGGGCATCACCGCGGCGCGCGGCAAATCGTGGCACATATTCCTCGATGGATTGTCATCGGTAAGGTTGAGCTGAAAGTCGCCCGTGGACGCGCGGAGAGCGGCGCCCATCATGTGAATGTGCATGTGAAGCGTTTCGGGCGATCAGGTTTTGCCGTGGGAGGCTTGCTGGGGGAAGGCGGCCATGAAGACGCGATGACTCCCCCGGCGTCGCGTACCAGACGCGCGGCCCTGGCGGGCGCGGTGGCGAGTGGCCAGGCTCCCTCCTCCGAGTTGCCAGTTGCAGCGGCGACCTTCGCGCGGCCATGGGGGGTGCTTCTGGGCGCGTGACAAGTGCGCCCCTCTGGGCGACGCGTGATGCAGATTGCGTCGTTTCTGCGGAGGAACTCGCCACTGGCCACGCGTTTCATGGTGGTCCGTGCCAAAAAAAGAACCCCAGAAGCTTCGAAAACGGCCGCGAGACAGCCCGAGAGGGCCCCGCGACGGCGCCAGAGGCGCCCGAGGTCGCCCGAGAGGGCACCGAGACGGCCCCAAGAGGGGGCCGAGAGGGGCGACGCGAGCAGGCCCCGAAGGGCCCCAACAAGCTCCCCTGTGGGCCGAAGAGTTTCCAGGGGGCCTCCCACGAATGCCACGACAGGCACAACTCATTTTGGTGGTGGCTTGGTATTCGAGGTTTCATCATATGGGCGCCCCGACGCTCCGAGACGGCCCGCGAGGCGTCCAAAACCGCTCCAAGGTAGCCCGACCAATCGGGCCCCAAGACGGCCCGCGAGTGCCTCAAGAGGGTGCCCGAGGCGCCCAAGACGGCCCGAGACAGCGCCAAGACGGCCCCGAGAGGGGCCCAAGAGGGGTGAGACGAACCGAAAATCCGAGCCTTCCACCCCGAGAGGCTCTCAGGAAACCCCAAGTGGCCCCCGATAGGATCAGGGGGGCCCTCGAGAAGCTCCACGGGGCCGAAGAGGTTCCGAGAGGCCTGCCACGAATGCCCAAAGAGGCACAATCCATTTTTCACGGATTTTAGAGTTGTTAGCCTTTTGGCACCCCGACGCTTCAAGACGGCCCAAGAGGCCCCCAAGACCGCTCCAAGATAGCCGAAGAGGCCTCCAACAGGGCCCCAAGACGGCCCCGAAGAAGCCTCCAACAGGCCCACGCGCACGCGCGCACACGTGCACACGCGCACACGCACACACGCGCACACGCGAACGCGCGCACACGCGCACACGCGCACGCGCGCACGCGCCCCTCCCTTCCACTGTGGGTGTGGGGTGGCGCGTCGTCGTCGTTAACGTCGTCGTCGTCGTCGTCGTCGTCGTCGTTGTCGTCGTCGTCGTCGTCGTCGTCGTCGTCGTCGTCGTCGTCGTCGTCGTCGGCGTCCGCCGGTGTCCGTTGGCATCGGCGGCGTCGGCGTCGGCGTCGGCATATGCGTCGGCATCGCCGTCGTCGTCGTCGTCGGCGGCGTCATCGTCGTCGTTGTCGTTGTTGTCGTCGTCGTCGTCGTCGTCGTCGTCGGTGTGGACGTTGGCGTTGACGTCGGTGTCGGCGTCTGCGTCGGCGTCGTCGTCCACCCCATCCCATCTTGGGGGGGGCCTGTGGAGCCCTGGAGCCCATCCCATCTTTGGGGGTGGCTTCTGAAACCTCGACCTGGGATCATATCTATGTAAAAGTATATTTACATATATGTATGTTTTAATGTATATACGTATATCTCTCTCTCTCGCTCTCTCTAACTCTCTCTCTCTCTCTCTCTCTCTCTCTCTCTCCCCCCGTGCACGAGGCCCGGGCCACGGGGGGCATGGGAGACCTGGGGTTTCCCAGACCTCTCCCAGAGCACCCTGGAGCGGCCCTGGAGCTCCCAGACTGCCCCAGAGAGCTCCCAGAAACCCTCGGGGACTTCGACAAGCCCTTCCAAGACAGCCCCGATAGCCCCAACGTTGCCCAAGATGGGTTCGAGACCGCAAATACACACCCCAAGAGGCCTCCAAGAGGCCCCAATCCGTACTCATTTTGGCCCAAGTCATTTGGCTCAAGCCATTTCGAGCCAAGCCACCTTTGATCAGGGTTACAGTTTGGCTTAAGCCTTAAGCATACTTGCTCGAGGCAGGCTTCACTTTCTATATCCCGCGTTGCCTCTTCGCGCCTCTCCCTTCGCGCAACCATGGCCTTCATGGCGAGAGCTCTTTCGCTCGCGGGCCTGTTGACTACCGTGAAATCCGTGGAGTACCAAGAGGTTACGCCAGCAGAAAGTGGGCAGAATGTGGAGTCAATCCTACATGCGCGCAAATGGCTACAGCCGGCGAGTGGCAAGATCCAACGGAGGCCTGGTGCAGGCATTATGCCGAGGTGGAGGTTCCGGGGGGCTCGTTTGCAGGAACTGGCAACGACGTTAATATCCCATGCGGGTGCAGCACCTTCGGCACAGACAACAAGAACTACTATTAGAAGCCATGTGTAGAGGGAGCACGCACGACAAGCTCGGAATTTCACCACATCTGCGTCAAGACCGTCACTTGCCATTCCATGACCTGCTCCGAGAAGTTCCTGTATTGGTGCTTACAGAGCACTGTGGGCTTCGACTCCAACGACAACGCGGCGCCCGCGAGCTCTCCGAAGGACATCCTCGTTGCCGAGTGCCCCGAATGCAATGGCGCCGCCAACACGGAAACTTGCCCAACGAAGGTGGTTCGCTTGTACGATGCTGCTCCAGAGGCGGAGCCGACCTCGGAGCTCGACAAGACGTCCGTTGCGGTGTCAGTGCCGCTCGGATTGGTGTTCGCTCTCACCGCTATGGGTGGGGTCATCGGCGTCTCCCGACGCCGCGCGTCCAACCAGCCAGTGCTCGTGGAGGACGAGCAAGATCTGCTGCGCGAGTGAACGAGTACGCCTGTGGCAGCAGCTCAAACCTATCAGGACCAGAGGACACAGAGCTCGCCGAGTCATGCATGCTTTTTTGAGATGCCTCCCCGCCTGACGTTCGCAATCGCTTTGCGCCAGTTCAGCGATCAAAGTTGCGTACCTCTCTCTCTCTCTCTCTCTCTCCCTCGCGCTCTCTCTCACGAAAAAAATCCATACATCCTGTTTACCTTCCTCCTCCCGACGAGGGAAGCGGTGCTCTGGCGCCGCTCGGATCGCAGTAAGGAGACCGACCTTCTGCAGGCCCACGGGAACTTGGGGCTCCTCCTCATTTCAACTTGAGTTTGAAGTTTCGCAAGTCGCGATAAGTTTCGCTCCATATTTTATGTCAGCAACAAATAAGAAGAGGCTTCCAAGAGGTCTCAAGAGAGCTCCGAAAAGCACCCCGAGAGAGCCCGAAGAGGCCCAAATCATTGATTTTCATAGTTTTCTTGATGCTTTTCGGATTCTCGCGTTTTCGACAATCCGACGCTCCAAGACGGCCGACGACGCCCCCAAGACCGCCCCAACACCGCCGAAGAGGCCCCCCAAATAGCCCCGTGACGGCACCAGGGAGTTTGAATATTGCCCACGGGGAGCCCCGGAATGCCCAAGAGAGCCCCAGGACAGACCCAAGCTGAGCCACAGAGCGCGAGCGGGAGGCGCCAAGCCGCTCCAAGACGGCCCAGATGGCCCCAGCGTGGCCTTAGATGGGCCGGCCCAACACGGCCAATGCACAGCCCAAGATTCCTCCAAGCGGCCCCAGGAGAGCTCCAAGAGGCGTCCCGAGAGAGCCCGAAGATCATCGATTTCCAGTAGTTTTTCTTTCAATCTGTTTCGCTGGACAGCGCAGCCTGCCCGGAACCAGCGTGGCGGCGTGCAGGGCCTCGGCACGTGGAGCGGCGGCGGGTCCGCCGGCAGAGGCCCGGCCCACCAGTTTGATGCGCTGCGTCCGTGCTCCCAGCCTGCCCTCCTCTTCCTCCCGCATGAAGACCTCCTCCTCCTCCTCCTCCTCCTCCTCCTCCTCCCTCCTCCTCCCTCCTCCTCCTCCTCCTCCTCCTCCTCCTCCTCCTCCTCCTCCTCCTCCTCCTCTTCCTCCTCCTCCTCCTCCTCCACGACAGGCGTTTTTCCGCAATCGGCCCCCCACGATCCCCCCCGGGACAGGGGGGGGACAAAAATTGCAGCGGAAAGTACTGAGCGGACTTTCCCCGTTTGACCATGGGATCCCCGCTGTCAAACGGGCAATCGGCCACACTTCCCTTCAGATTGGCTGTTTGGCAGTGGGGATCCAATTGAAAAGTGAACAACCGGGTACCCCGATGACTCATTTGACAACGGAGTTCCCTTTGCCAAATGGGCGATCGGAGCTCAATTCACCCGCCTCGGCCTCGCCCCCACGATTGCTCATTTGAATGTGGCCCCCCACGGTCAAACGGGCAATCCGAGCTCGATTCCCGCGACTCGCCCCCCCCGTTGACAGTGGGCCCTCAGTGACACATGGGCAATCGAAGCTCAACCCCCGCGCCTCGGCCTGCCTCCCCGATGGCCCATGTGACAGTGCGCCCCCGCTGTCAAATCGATGATCGGACTAACTTGGCCGCCCAGACCTGGCCCCTAAACAAGTTATTTGACAATGGAGCCCAACTACCAAATGCTCTAGCCGCTAGCCACACACTCCCCCCCGCCTTGGCTGGGCCTGCACGTTTGCCAGTGGAGCCGCACTGTCAAATGGCCACCCCCCCGAATGGCTGCCCATTTGGCACTTTGGCCCCCGGAGCTACATCCATGCTGCAAAGGCCTCATGGAAGAAAACCGAAGAGCCGCGCAAGAGCATCCTGATGACCCCTCATGAGCTTCGTAACGACAGGGGCCCAGAAGGGGGCACCTTACTAACAGACCATGGAACACCGAATTTAACAGCTTACTTTGTCGGCCTCCGAATGCTCTCGCCATCCAGAGCGCGGCCATCCCATCTGCATCAATCGCAAAATCATCGCGGCCCAGCACCGAAACCCCAAATTCAATCAACTGGATGCAAGCAGTGAGCCTTGAACTTGGTCACCGCCGGAAGCCTCTTAGTTCCTCGCGCGCGTTGTATTTCTGGTGGCCACAAGTCTTCGCTCCACCGAATGCCTCACTGGCAGGGTGCCGCATAGCTCCCCTCCGCCCAGTTGGGGACACCCCTCGCCTCAATCATTCTGTGGCCCCGCGGGTGGCTAGCTGGTCTGATTGGCGTCAGCAACAAAACTTCTTGTCACTCGAAGCATAGTAAGGCGCTGGGGAATAAGAATTTGCTGCTCACGCGGCTAAGAATACAGCGTTTGCACATGTTGTGTGACTTCAAGGACTTGACGACGAGCTCAATGGGAGTCGCGGAAGAGTCCTCTAGGAGCCCTCTTGGGGCATTCTTGAGACCCTCTTGGGGCGTCTTGGAGCCTTCTCGGCCCGCTTTTGGCCCCTGCGAAAGCTCCCTTGAGCCCTGTTTGGAGGCGTCTTTGGGCTGTCCTGGTCCGTGGTGGAGCTCTTTTGGGACCATCTTGGGGTCCTTTCGAGCGCCTCTGAGTCCCACGCAGCCCTCTTGGATTCATCCTGAGCGGAAAGAAATATCACAACGACTATAAGACTGCCGCATATGTTGACTGATGTTGGTCGCCTTGATATCCTCGTGGGACCCCCGAGTACCGTCTTGGAGGCATCCTGGGGCCCTCTCGGGCTGCCTGGAGGCCCTCTTAGGCAACGTTGGCGACGTCTTGGGTTTTATTACGTCGGACCTTTTTTGAGTTGGAGCAACATGCAGCAGGCAATGTCTGCGGTGCGAACAGCATAGATCCCCCCTGCTATTTGCGGGTGTATCCTACGGTCACCTCACACTTCCGCAAAATTACGCACCTCGCAGCATGCCGACACAACGTGCAGCAAGCAGTGTTTACAATGCGAGCGGGAATGGTGCCCCCTGCTATTTGCGGGTGCATGCCGCTCTGCCCTCACAGCTCGCGCAGCAAAGCTACGCGCCAACTCGTTAACAGCAAATGGCGATGATGAGAAGGCAGCGGAGGCGCAATGCCGCGATGAGAGAGGGGAGAATCCGCAGAATTGTGGGAGACTCTTGGGGGGCATCTGCGGCCGCATTGGTGCTATATTGGGGTGCCTCTTGGGCCGTCAAGGGCCCTTTGGGGGCCGTCTCGGGGCCCTCTTCGGGGGCAGCTGGGCCCCCTGGGTGCCTCTTGGAAGCTTCTCGGGGCCTGGCTGGCGGGGTCGGCGTGCGTGCTGCCGCTCCCGGGGCGCCTCTTCGCGGGGCCTCTCGGGCCGTGGATGGGGTCCTCTGGGGTCGTCTTGGGGCTTCCTTCGGGGTCACTGGGACCGTTTGGGGGCCGTCTGTGGGCGTCTTGAGCCGCCGGGAGCTCAGAAAAGAAGAGCGAGGACGCCGAACTCTTGTCATCTTTCTGAGGCCTTCTTCAGCGCCTCCTGGGGGCTCGTCGGAAGCTCTTGGAAGCCTTTTTGTTACATATCCACAGGGACCCAGTGATTTTTACATTGTTGCCTTTTCGCCTCCGATGGTCTGCTGAGGCCCCCAGATCGCCCCAAAGGGGCCCCTCGACGCCCCTACAAAGCGCGCAAGAGGCCCCGCGAAGCTCCAACACGCCCTCAGCGGGGACCCGAAACCGCTCCCGAGAGGTGCCAGACATCCATCACGGCCGCCCAAGAGAACCTCCAATCGCACCCAGGCATCTGCGTCCGACCTCCGGTACTTCCCTCCTGGGCTTCCAAAACGCCCCAGAAGGGCTTCAGGACGCCTCGGGACGCTTCGACACAGGCAAGAGAGCCCCAAGACAGCCCACGAGAGCCTCGAGACGGCCCAAGAAACCCCCCGCACCAGCCCCAAAAGAGCGCCAAGAGACCGGTCCCTAAGACCGCCGACGAGAGCGCTAAGGATTTCCAAACACCTAAAGGAAATATGACTTCTGCCATTCCGCTTTTTTGCCTCTGGTACCTGCAAGGGCCGACGCATGACCCCCACGAGAACGCCAAGATGCCCTCCAAAGGCGCCCCAAGCAGCCCCAAGGGATCACAAGAGGCTCCCATGACGCCCGAAGAGGCTCCCTTCGATGCACACATTTTTGGCTTGTCGGTGGTCTTCTAGAGGGCTTCCTGAGGCCCTCTGGGGCTGTCTTGAGCGTGGCATCCTGGGGGAGCCTCTTGGGCGCCTTTGGGAGCGTTGGGCCGCCTGGAGACCCCCTCTTTGAGCGTCTTGAGGCTATCTGACGCTGTCTTAGGTTCTAGCGACGTGTCAGCTGACGTGCCTGGCACGAACGTAAAGAACCAGACGTATGGCAAGTTCCACGGCTTGGACCGAAGCACTTGGGCCACAATGGCTATGAAGGAATTCTCTTGGGGGGCCTTGGGGGGCTCACGGTTCTTCTTGAGGCATCGCGGGGCGGGGACCTCTTGGGGACCGTTGTTGGGCCTCTTGGGGGCTGTTTGGGGGCCTCTGGGGGGCCTCTTAAGGCCTCGTGGGAGCCTCTCAGAGCCCTTTTAGGGCCTCCTGGGGGCCTCTTGGGGCGAAATAAATAATTTTCGGCTCATGTTCCCCGTCTTGAGCCCTTCTTGGGGCCGTCTTTGGGCCCTCTTGGGCCGTTGTGAGCGCCCCTGGGCCCTGTTGGCCCGTCCTGGGGTTCTCTTGGGGGCCTCTTGGCCCGTCTTTGGGGCGGTCTTGTGGGCCTCTTGGGCCGTCTGCGAGTGTCTGCAACTCAAAGAACAACCGAAGGACGTTAACGATTTGCGGCTCCCGGGGCACTCGCTTGGGGCCTCGGGCGCCCCCTGAAGCCTGCCGGAGGCCGTTCTAGCGCAGCCTGGAGCCTTCCGGGGGCCGTTGCCGCCCGCAAGGCATCTTTGGCGCTCTCGGGGTGTGACAGACCGGTTCGGTAGATTATTGTAGAATTTTTGTTGGTGATCTGTGCGCCCACGGGGCCACTTATGGAGGCCACGAGGGTGCTCGTGGGGCCCCCCGACCTCGCTCGCATGCCACGCCGGCAGGGGCCGTGGTTCCTGGCCTGCCCTTGGCCCAATCCGAGATCGATGTTGCTGGAAGGATGCCGCGGAGAGATGGGGTCTCGGGCTCCGGTCGTGATTTTGTGCGCTGTTGGAACTTGTTCGCAACGTCGTATCCCATGCCATGGTACTTGGGTCACGGTGGGGTTTGCGAAGTGGATACAGGGGCCACGAATGGATGCGAGGGTTGGGTACGGCTGGCCTGACAGAGTGGGTGGGGGAGGTGTAGAGCGAGGATGGCGTCCGGTTGCGATTGGCTCAGGATGGTTTCGGAGGATTCTGGAGTACAGTTGTGTACCTTTGCTCAGCGTGTCGCGGCGGCCGCCCTAGCGACACGCTATGCCGTGCACAGCTTGTCGTGATGGCCGTTGTCATCATAATCCTCATCATCATACTGGTCATCGTCATCCCCATCGCCATCGTCAGCGTCATCGTTAGTTTGCGTGCTCTGGAGAAGCGTTTCCAAACACGTTGAATGGAGGCTGGCGGGCATGTCCATCATCATCATCATCATCATCATCATCATCATCATCATCATCATCATCATCATCATCATCATCATCATCATCATCATCATCATCATCATCATCATCGTCATCTTATCATCATCCGTAGCCATTTGGGCTCAAGCTTTTTCGCCTCAACCACTCTGTGGCGCTCCAGTGATCGCGTCTCCTCGGCGCACGCCTGCTTGCTTCCGCTGCAGACCAGAGCTCACACCTCATCTCGCCCGCATGGCGCCGCACCGCCGCAGCGAAGACATGGAGCTCAGCAGCGACAGCGACGCGTCCGCGCCGGCCGCTGGCTGGAGCACCGGCAGGGTCCTCGGCTGCGCGGCGCTGGCCTGTGCCGCTTGCGCCGCGGGCGGCTTCGCGGCAGGTGGCGGCGCCAGCTCGCCAGGGGGCGGCCCCGCGGCCAGGCGCGAGTTACTGCAGGTGCTGGCAAAGCCGGCGCGGGAGAAGTGCAGCGACGTGTCCGGGGACTGCTTCGATACAGCGTGCTGCGACGTGGCTGGCTTCACCTGCTTCGTGACGACCACGCCTGGCTCGGCCCAGTGCATGAAGAACTGCACGCCCAGCGAGACGACGGCCTGCGCGGTGCCTGTGCCCAAGGTCGGCGAGCCGATGTACTTGGACAACGCCGTAGCACCTGGCACATCGATGTATTGCTTCTCCGTTTACATGGCAGACACTGGTAGCGACGGCAAAACCGAGCGCCCGGACGAGCTGAATTTGCTGAAGGCGGCGTACGACAGGAAGATAGGCATCTTCGCGTGCGAGCAGTGGGGCATTTTCAGCGACAAGCCAGGCGACCTGGCCCCTGGCGTGCCATTCGTGGCGGTGGACGACGCCGATGGGGACTTCCACATTCTCAAGCGCAAGGAGACCGGCACCTGGATTAACACAGGCTTGCACACACAGGTCTGGAAGGCGATCAGGGCGGCGGGAGACTACCAGCGCGCCAGCTGGGTGGTCAAGGTAGATTGCGATGCGGTGTTCTTGCCGAGCCGCTTGAGGCCCTTCCTTGCCTCCCAGGGCGAGCCTGGGAGCGGTGTGCCTGGCATCTACCTTGAGAACTGCAAATACTGTAAGTGGGGTTGGTTCGGGAACTTGGAGATCATGTCGCTGACTGCCGCCCAGACGCTGTTCCCGAACATCGAATGGTGCAAGCAGGTCCTGGATTGGAAGACGGGAGTGGAGGGCGGCAAGTACGGGCCGATGGGGGAGGACCTTTTCGCTCAGAGCTGCTTGGACGCCATGGGTGTGCGCCGCGGCGGGGCGTTCGACACTACTCTGGATGCGGCCTGCGAGGCGGATCGCCCAGAGGACCAGAAAAAGAACAAGAAATGGAGGCCTGACTGCACGGAGAGGAAGACCGCAGCATATCATCCCATGATGAAGGTGGGTGATTACGTGAAGTGCTTCGAGAAGACGGTGGAGGCATTCGGGTACTGAGTTCTTGGGAGATGCGCTCTGCGAATTACTTCGAAGAAGTGGCAGCGCAAGAGCTGTTGCCCGATATTCGTGCACAGTTTAGCCATCAGCACGTTTTTTAGCTGCCACGAGTCAACGTCCTCGTGGCTGAGTGCTCGGTCGATGCGAGGCCCGTATCCTCCGAGGTGCGCTTGTGGTGGACCCGCGGCGCGCAATTAACATAAAAATGATGAACTCTGGGATGTCGCCAGAGGGGAGATGACTTCTCCTGCGGTGACCTATCGATGCCGACTGCCAAGCTGGAGGCTCTGAACCCAGGAGTTGTCATACCGATCATCATCATCATCATCATCATCATCATCATCATCATCATCATCATCATCATAATCATCATCAGCACCACCATCAGTATCATCATCATAATCATCACCATCACCGTCATCATCATCAGCATCATCAGCATCGTCATCATCAGCATCATCATCACCATCATCACCATCACCGTCATCATTGTCGTCATCATCACCAGCACAAAAGCATCATCAGCATCAGCATCAGCATCAGCATCAGCATCAGCATCAGCATCAGCATCAGCATCAGCATCAGCATCAGCATCAGCATCAGCATCATCATCATCATCATCATCATCATCATCGTCATCGTCATCGTCATCGTCATCGTCATCGTCATCGTCATCGTCATCGTCATCGTCATCGTCATCGTCATCGTCATCGTCATCGTCATCTCATCATCATCCGTAGCCATTTGGGCTCAAGTTTTTTCGCCTCAACCACTCTGTGGCGCTCCAGTGATCGCGTCTCCTCGGCGCACGCCTGCTTGCTTCCGCTGCAGACCAGAGCTCACACCTCATCTCGCCCGCATGGCGCCGCACCGCCGCAGCGAAGACATGGAGCTCAGCAGCGACAGCGACGCGGCCGCGCCGGCCGCTGGCTGGAGCACCGGCAGGGTCCTCGGCTGCGCGGCGCTGGCCTGTGCCGCTTGCGCCGCGGGCGGCTTCGCGGCAGGTGGCGGCGCCAGCTCGCCAGGGGGCGGCCTCGCGGCCAGGCGCGAGTTGCTGCAGGTGCTGGCAAAGCCGGCGCGGGAGAAGTGCAGCGACGTGTCCGGGGACTGCTTCGATACGGCGTGCTGCGACGTGGCTGGCTTCACCTGCTTCGTGACGACCACGCCTGGCTCGGCCCAGTGCATGAAGAACTGCACGCCCAGCGAGACGACGGCCTGCGCGGTGCCTGTGCCCAAGGTCGGCGAGCCGATGTACTTGGACAACGCCGTAGCACCTGGAACATCGATGTATTGCTTCTCCGTTTACATGGCAGACACTGGTAGCGACGGCAAAACCGAGCGCCCGGACGAGCTGAACTTGCTGAAGGCGGCGTACGACAGGAAGATAGGCATCTTCGCGTGCGAGCAGTGGGGCATTTTCAGCGACAAGCCAGGCGACCTGGCCCCTGGCGTGCCCTTCGTGGCGGTGGACGACGCCGATGGGGACTTCCACATTCTCAAGCGCAAGGAGACCGGCACCTGGATTAACACAGGCTTGCACACACAGGTCTGGAAGGCGATCAGGGCGGCGGGAGACTACCAGCGCGCCAGCTGGGTGGTCAAGGTAGATTGCGATGCGGTGTTCTTGCCGAGCCGCTTGAGGCCCTTCCTTGCCTCCCAGGGCGAGCCTGGGAGCGGTGTGCCTGGCATCTACCTCGAGAACTGCAAATACTGTAAGTGGGGTTGGTTCGGGAACTTGGAGATCATGTCGCTGACTGCCGCCCAGACGCTGTTCCCGAACATCGAATGGTGCAAGCAGGTCCTGGATTGGAAGACGGGAGTGGAGGGCGGCAAGTACGGGCCGATGGGGGAGGACCTTTTCGCTCAGAGCTGCTTGGACGCCATGGGTGTGCGCCGCGGCGGGGCGTTCGACACTACTCTGGACGCGGCCTGCGAGGCGGATCGCCCAGAGGACCAGAAAAAGAACAAGAAATGGAGGCCTGACTGCACGGAGAGGAAGACCGCAGCATATCATCCCATGATGAAGGTGGGTGATTACGTGAAGTGCTTCGAGAAGACGGTGGAGGCATTCGGGTACTGAGTTCTTGGGAGACGCGCTCTGCGAATTACTTCGAAGAAGTGGCAGCGCAAGAGCTGTTGCCCGATATTCGTGCACAGTTTAGCCATCAGCACGTTTTTTAGCTGCCACGAGTCAACGTCCTCGTGGCTGAGTGCTCGGTCGATGCGAGGCCCGTATCCTCCGAGGTGCGCTTGTGGTGGACCCGCGGCGCGCAATTAACATACACATGATGACCTCTGGGATGTCGCCAGGGGGAGATGACTTCTCCTGCGGTGACCTATCGATGCCGACTGCCAAGCTGGAGGCTCTGAACCCAGGAGTTGTCATGCCGATCATCATCATCATCATCATCATCATCATCATCATCATCATCATCATCATCATCATCATAATCATCATCAGCACCACCATCAGTATCATCATCATAATCATCACCATCACCGTCATCATCATCAGCATCATCAGCATCGTCATCATCAGCATCATCATCACCATCATCACCATCATCACCATCACCGTCATCATTGTCGTCATCATCACCAGCACCATAAGCATCGTCAGCATCAGCATCAGCATCAGCATCAGCATCAACATCAGCATCATCATCATCATCATCATCATCATCATCATCATCATCATCGTCATCTTATCATCATCCGTAGCCATTTGGGCGCCTCAACCACTCTGTGGCGCTCCAGTGATCGCGTCTCCTCGGCGCACGCCTGCTTGCTTCCGCTGCAGACCAGAGCTCACACCTCATCTCGCCCGCATGGCGCCGCACCGCCGCAGCGAAGACATGGAGCTCAGCAGCGACAGCGACGCGGCCGCGCCGGCCGCTGGCTGGAGCACCGGCAGGGTCCTCGGCTGCGCGGCGCTGGCCTGTGCCGCCTGCGCCGCGGGCGGCTTCGCGGCAGGTGGCGGCGCCAGCTCGCCAGGGGGCGGCCCCGCGGCCAGGCGCGAGTTACTGCAGGTGCTGGCAAAGCCGGCGCGGGAGAAGTGCAGCGACGTGTCCGGGGACTGCTTCGATACAGCGTGCTGCGACGTGGCTGGCTTCACCTGCTTCGTGACGACCACGCCTGGCTCGGCCCAGTGCATGAAGAACTGCACGCCCAGCGAGACGACGGCCTGCGCGGTGCCTGTGCCCAAGGTCGGCGAGCCGATGTACTTGGACAACGCCGTAGCACCTGGAACATCGATGTATTGCTTCTCCGTTTACATGGCAGACACTGGTAGCGACGGCAAAACCGAGCGCCCGGACGAGCTGAACTTGCTGAAGGCGGCGTACGACAGGAAGATAGGCATTTTCGCGTGCGAGCAGTGGGGCATTTTCAGCGACAAGCCAGGCGACCTGGCCCCTGGCGTGCCCTTCGTGGCGGTGGACGACGCCGATGGGGACTTCCACATTCTCAAGCGCAAGGAGACCGGCACCTGGATTAACACAGGCTTGCACACACAGGTCTGGAAGGCGATCAGGGCGGCGGGAGACTACCAGCGCGCCAGCTGGGTGGTCAAGGTAGATTGCGATGCGGTGTTCTTGCCGAGCCGCTTGAGGCCCTTCCTTGCCTCCCAGGGCGAGCCTGGGAGCGGTGTGCCTGGCATCTACCTCGAGAACTGCAAATACTGTAAGTGGGGTTGGTTCGGGAACTTGGAGATCATGTCGCTGACTGCCGCCCAGACGCTGTTCCCGAACATCGAATGGTGCAAGCAGGTCCTGGATTGGAAGACGGGAGTGGAGGGCGGCAATTACGGGCCGATGGGGGAGGACGGAGCATGGTACGGGCCGATGGGGGAGGACCTTTTCGCTCAGAGCTGCTTGGACGCCATGGGTGTGCGCCGCGGCGGGGCGTTCGACACTACTCTGGATGCGGCCTGCGAGGCGGATCGCCCAGAGGACCAGAAAAAGAACAAGAAATGGAGGCCTGACTGCACGGAGAGGAAGACCGCAGCATATCATCCCATGATGAAGGTGGGTGATTACGTGAAGTGCTTCGAGAAGACGGTGGAGGCATTCGGGTACTGAGTTCTTGGGAGACGCGCTCTGCGAATTCTTTACGCTTCGCGCATCCCCACCAGCCCATCTCACAACAGCAACTCTTGCGAAGCGTGCCGACAGTTGTGTTTTTCAGGCGTGTGTCCGCTTGGCGCCGCATACCCCCCCTGTTCCTCCTTCTTCCCGCCTCCGACGACGACGTCGACGACGACGACGGCGACGACGAAGGCGGCGGTGCGGGCCCTCGTTGTGTGAGTCCTTCGGCCCCGTCGTCCTTGTGTGAGTCTTTCGGGACCCTATTCCTGGTGTGAGTCGTTCGGTATCCTCGTTGTGTGAGTCGTTCGGGCCCTTCCTCCTGGTGTGAGTCGTTCGGGCTCGTCGTGTTGTGAGTCGTTCGGGCTCCTCGTGGTGTGAGTCGTTCGGGCGTCTCGTCCTGGTGTGAGTCGTCGGGGCCCCTCGTCCTGGTGTGAGTCGTTCGGACTCCTCGTGGTGTGAGTCGTTCGGGCCCTTCGTCCTGGTGTGAGTCGGTCGGGCTTCTCGTGGTGCGCGGCGTTTGGGCACCTCGTCCGCTTGCGAGTCGTTCGGGCCCTTCGTCGTAGGAGTCGTAGTAGTAATAGTAGTAGTAGTAGTCGTAGTCGTAGTCGTAGTCGTAGTAGTAGTAGTAGTAGTAGTAGTAGTAGTAGTAGTAGTAGTAGTAGTAGTAGTAGTAGTAGTAGTAGTAGTTAGTAGTAGTAGTAGTAGTAGTAGTAGTAGTAGTAGTAGTAGTAGTAGTAGTAGTAGTAGTAGTAGTAGTAGTAGTAGTAGTAGTAGTAAGTAGTAAGTAGTAGTAGTAGTAGTAGTAGTAGTACTAGTAGTAGTAGTAGTAGTAGTAGTAGTAGTAGTAGTAGTAGTAGTAGTAGTAGTAGTAGTAGTAGTAGTAGTAGTAGTAGTAGTAGTAGTAGTAGTAGTAGTAGTAGTAGTAGTAGTAGTAGTAGTAGTAGTAGTAGTAGTAGTAGTAGTAGTAGTAGTAGTAGTAGTAGTAGTAGTAGTAGTAGTAGTAGTAGTCGTAGTAGTAGTAGTACAGTAGTAGTAGTAGTAGTAGTAGTAGTAGTAGTAGTAGTAGTAGTAGTAGTAGTAGTAGTAGTAGTAGTAGTAGTAGTAGTAGTAGTAGTAGTCGTAGTAGTCGTAGTAGTAGTAGTAGTAGTAGTAGGAGTAGTAGCAGTAGAAGTAGTAGTGGGAGTAGTAACAGTAGGAGTCGTCGTAGTAGTCGTAGTAGTCGTTGTCGTAATGGACTCAGGGCGGCCGTCGTCGAAAGCAGCGATCTTTCCCGACCAGTGTTGTTGTCGTTGCCACTCTGGCTTCTAGTATTGGAGTGTGGCTGTGAGCGTCGCTCCGCCTACCCGTAACGCACGCGCCTGCTGTTTTTTGGCGCGAGGTGGCTTGTGTGCGCAAATGCCGCACGTAGCCCAGCATTGCAACGAGATCTTCATTTTTGCGTCTGATGTGAGTAATATTCTTCTCTATTCGCACCGCGTTCGTGTCAGCAGGTCGTCGTGGCTGTTAGCGCTCGGTGACATGCAGGCACGGCGGTCAGCGCGAGATGTCTCGGAGACGCGCCACCTTCGAGATTTGATCCGCAGGATCCATCGTCACTGCGACACCACATCATGGATTCCCCTTCGCACCTATACGCGCATGTATTCAATACAGACGCACGCATACATCAAAGGCGGTCCGACACACATCAAGAATGCACAGAAAGACATGCACAGAAGTTCAACGTTGTCCTGTGCTTCTTCCCAAGAGAGTACGAGTGGTGCGCCAGTTTTCCTGCGGATGTTGAGTAGGCACATGTGGAGGTCTGGGAGTCGTCGTTCCCAGTGTCGTCTGCCGCGCTCGTGCGCAGGTGACGCGTGGAGCGTTACGGAACGTGTGGGCTGAAGTGGTTCGCTTTGCCTTCTGGATAGACGGGACGCAGTCGATTCAGGTAGAACGCTCTTCGTAGTCGTGCAGGGGTACAGTGCGCGGAGAGGTCTTGCAGGTATGCACGAGCTCGAGGCTCTCAACATGACTGTCGGCGTATCCCGTCTCATTCCATGTAGTGGATCGAGGCTTATCGTGCCTCCGGGTGTCCAGGGGCCTGGGGTCTAGTTCTCTGGTGTTGCAGGTGTTCCAACTGTCAGGATATAGTATTATACACGGTTGTCCTTGGTGCAGTTCCAGGTAACTTCCAAGTTCCCCACAGGGTGAGTCGATCGGGTGTCTCGCGGCGTGAGCAGTTCGGGCTTCTGGGGCTAGTGGGAGTCGGTCCGGCTTTTCCGTGCGTGTGAGACGTTCGTTCCGCTCTTCGTCGTCTTCTTCTTTTTCCTTCTCGGAGTTCGTGTCGTGCGGCCACGCAGGTTTTGACCTGCGCGGTTGGGGCCATTGCCGAAGGCTAAGGAGCGCCCAGGAGTGCCCCAGCGTTGTCGTCGCTGTTGCCACTTTGGCTCGTAGCATTGCAGTTGGGCTGTGAGCGTAGCTCCGCCCATGAGCACAAGCCTCTTTTTCCTGGTTTCCTTGCTGTCGGCATGGAGAGGTGCCGGTACGCTCTGATACCTTGGCTTGCAGAAGGGGTACTTTGGAGCGAGAAGGGCGAGGAGTCGGTGATCATGCCTCCTTTCTGTGGCAAGTTCCGATCGTCGCCGTACTGCCGTCGCCCAGCATGCATGGCGGAGTGCGTGCCGCCAGAGGTAGTTCTGCACATAATCCAGAACGCCGTCAGAGCTCTAGTGATCACGAAGAAGCCGATGCAGGATGGCAGCGGTGACCTCAATTGCATGAGGAAGCTCGTCGCTCAGGTAGGCACGAGTTTGTATTTCCATGTGTGCAGCATGAACCTGTTCACCGACCAAGACGCCCGTTGGCGCGTAGACTTTGTCGGCGACGTTGCAACTGTGAAGCATCGCATGGCGGGGATGACAAGTACGCTGGCGTGTCGAACATGGGCATCCAGGGCAATGCGCGTGGCGCAGGTTTTTGAGATTCTGTCATTGCTCAATTTCACGTGAGCCCA